TTTCTCATGAATTCGCATTTTTTTTAAAGAAAACATGAAGGCAAAATTAGAACACGAAAAAAGGTCTTAATCTCTCAATCGTTGACTAAATATTCTGAAAATTTATTCCTCAGTAATGAGACAGTATTAACGATTAGGCCCAATGGATAATTACTTTTCATGAATAAATTTGAAAGCCGTACCAAGTCTTTGGTAAAATGGTTGCTACCCGCTAGCCTCATGCTCCCAATCACCATTGACTTCAAAATTCCAACCTCAGTTTTGTAACTATGGCTGGAAAAAAAATGCGGAGAAGTGTTAACGTAAGACTTTTATGAGAATGAGTTCCAGCTATGATGATGTACATCAGATAATGGACGAAAGCTCAGTCAGCGTTCACTCGAAGCGAGAGAGGATGTCTTGTGGACCGTGTCAACCTGAACGTCGAATTAAAGCCAAACGGCTGCAACACAACGGGATTCCGCCTCCGTCTTCTGGTGATATCCATCTACGAATCTCTTCTTCATTAACTTTTATACGAAATGAGAGTCTGCCCGGCAAAGTTAATTAGAAATGTCTATTTTTACTGATGCTCTTTCACGACCAAATTAATTTCATCAAAGATTATGTCTTCATTGCTGGAGTCTTAAATTAAGGCAATCAAATTGCTACAGCCTCCTCAACAGAGTGGGAATCGAATACAGATTCAAGTTCATCTAGAAGCAAGATGATGAGTTAGTCTAATATTTTTATGAAAACCGCATAGAGGACCAAAACCGACCTAATTAGAGTAAAATATGCATCAAGATCTTGGGAGTTAAGTGGGCTGCAACCATTCCTTGAAAAGAAGTTATAATCTTTCCAGATTTACGGACAAGAAGTAAAATAGACAAAACACTTTAGCTAATCGCTAAGCATGAAGAGGTTGAGTAAAAGTCTCACCTATCTTTGTTTGCACACAGCTCCTGATTTGTCGCAACAGGAAAGCATATTTTAATGAAGTAATTTTGATGTGGAAGTGACCATATGCGGAATAAAATTTCAAGGTATAAAGAAATAGTTGTGCATATATATATATATATATATATAAACCTATATAAAAGTGGATCTAAAGAGAATCAGGATTTTTGTGGCGCATCCAAAATGAGCTAAGCCTAACTAAATTGCAGTCTATGAATATAATTCAAGGAGTAGAAGAAAAATCACGCATAAAGGCTGCGAAGCATACCTGGAGATGATGAATATTGGTTGTACGGAAGCCACTCCAAATTCTGGTCAGTGGTAAATTGATAACATGTTTAGACATCAAGCAAATGTGAGTATGCAGAGTCAAAATGTATAACAAAAGCAAATACAAACAATCTTCTTAAATGCCAAGAACGAAGATTTAGTATAATTTGTCGAGAGAATATAAATGTATTAGGAGTCATATGATAATTTGTGCGTTTCATAGTAAAATGTAGTCAATCCTATTTTGGCTAAAAAAGCATGTAGCACTTGAGCCAAAATTAATGAAATCACATCAAGAAAGATTTACTTTTTTTCCATTCCACAAATAATTTAGCAATGAAAGCGAATTCTCGGTAATTTGATGCTTATGAGAAAGATGGTTGATTTACAACAAAAAGTCAGCCCAGCTCGCTTAAGTTGATTTAAGGACTGAAAGCTTAGTTTTCCCACGATACAATGAGTAGACCTTACGATGCAAATAAATTTCACTTGGCTTTTCTTCCCGAAAGACAATCTGATCCAAGGTGTACTGCAACACTCCCAACATGAATTGGTGCCGGCTTGCGAGAATCGCAGCGACGTTAGCACTACAATCCGCATCTCATTGTAGAAAGAGCAACCATCATTCTCTAAATCCTCTTAAGCCACGCAGGTTGACTAAGTTCTTGTCAAGTACAATTGATAATCTCACAAATTACTTGCATCAGAAATACATCGGATCATATTGCAATTCAATCGGAACAATCGGTCTTGCCTCCCTGTCGCGAGTTCTCGGCCAGACTGGACGGCAGTTTTAGCTCCACCCATGCTTCAACAAAGCCTGAAACCATGTTATGCGTAGCCGATTTGGCCATCATGCCAGACTAGAAATTCTCGGATCTGGGAATACACACACATACACACACAGTCAAACAAACATATATTATATATGTGTGTTTGTGTGTGTGTGCAAATACACCCACGGACGCAAATACACACGTAAACACACGGGAAAGGTACATATTCTGAGTGAGAAATCATCAAAAGACTAGTTGTGCCTAGCGTATCACGGCTGTGAGTATTTAGGCATAGAGTATCTGGCTCCGAAGTTTGTCACAAGAGAAATAGAAACTCAAGTCAAATTCAACGAACTCACAGGACGGTGTACGAAACTTGCCGAACTCAAAGCCCTGTCCCAGAAGTCGATTGAAAAGACATGCACAATAAAAAGGGGTATCACAATAGGTTGCAGTAATCAGAGGCAGTGGACCAACCTCGAATGCCCAAGAGAGGAAACCATTCCGGATAGGAGTCGGCCGGTAGTCTCAATTTGGTCTGTAGCAGTTTAGTGAGTAGATAAGTGGAGTTGATAGTCGCCTCGCCGACCGGTTGGGACAGTGAGCCGAGCATCGATGAGAGACGGACAGAGACTGGGCTGGTCTGCAGAGCTGAAAGAATTTCATCAACCTAAGCGGGAGGACAGGGAGTGGAAAAGTGGTTAAATAGAACAGCATGTAGAGCAAGAGAACATGTAGACGCAGCAGGATCCCAATACACACAAATCATCTAAAGCCAATTAAGTAGGTTTTAGAGAATACCAGTAGACTTGATATCAAAGTTGCATTCAACCCATTTAGTTTAAAGTGATGAATGACTGGTAGTTGAATTCTGCCACAATCAGATAAATATGACTCATGCTACCACTAAATTTAACACAGCCTTTCTTCCCAAAAGGTATTTTTATCCAGCCTAGAGTAGACTGTCATTTCGGCCAAGTCTAGGTTTCATCAGAACCCTCAGGGTAGCTTTTATTGTGTCGAGAATTTGCACTGCACTGCCCAAGTTCGAGTCCCGTTTGGGCTGATGAAGATACCTAGGCGAGGTTGAAACTGAATGATAATACCTTTTAGGAGGAAAGGCTATGTGAAATTTAGCGCAAACACTAGGCCTACTCATCTGATTGTGGTAAAATTCAACTATCAGCCCTTAATTAGCTCAAACGGAATAGAGTAAATACAGCTCTTAATCTGTTTGCTTCCTCGCTAATTTCGCAGTGTCCTATTATTACTATTGCCTAATCCCACTACTAGTAGTTATTAAGACAATTTCTGTAGACGACAAATACAAGAGAAATATTTGTCACTGGCGGATATTGACTTTTGAGACGGATAGTTCATTAGGGCTGAATCAACCCAACCAAATATGAACCAATTCAGAAATTGACTAAGATTGATGGCAGGATAGACAACTGAGGTGGCTGAATAGAAACTTTTAGTGGTACTACCCAAGATTACTTGAAGAGAAGGAATGAACCTGCACATCCACAGCTCGAATCTCCCAAGGGATGCTGATGAGGTAATGAGACGAAGTGAAAACAGCAATCCAGTCTGGGCCACATGGCGTATCTTGGCTAGGATCTCTATCGCAAGCAAATGGTATCAAATAACCGAATGCTGATAACAAGATGGGAGCGCAATTTCCAATAGTGAGCCATGAAAATGAGCCCCATAGAATGGCAAATTGACCTTTATGCTGCAAATCTGGTCAGTTTAGGAGGCAGCGAGTTATAGTGAAAGCAGAGAAAAACCTTAATGGCATAAGAGCATACCTATTGTGGCCAGAAGGAAAAGAATCTTTCAATTGCAAGAGTTAAAATCGAATTATCATGACTACTTATGGCAGCGGACTTGGGACAGGGTGACCTCATAACGATGACCATGACAACACGACCAAGTTGCAAAAAACGAGGTCACCCTAGTTTAACCGGCGTTACGTATTTTCGTATTAGAGTAGGGTTTCGAGACTACCAGTAAAGCAGTAATATGAGATGTATTCACTCTATTTCGTCGCCGAGATGAGAACAACTTTTAGGAAAGCAAGGCAATGTGAAATTGAATGGAAACGTCAGCTCAACTCATATCATTGTGGGAAAATTCTACCACCAGTCCTTCATCATCTTAGACGAAATAGGGTGAATCCATCTCATATTAGTTTAACAAGGTTAAAGAAGATTGCGACCAAAATATATGCAACACCATCTTGCTTCCAGCATCTGCGAAAATTTAGTAAGTTTACTGAGCATATGAAGGAATCTTAGGAAGATAGAAGTGGAGCAAAAGAACGAGAACAGAAATCTTGCTCTCAGACTCTCGAGATCTACCTCTCCGCCCATAATGACTAGGCGAGCCTGAGGTTGAGAATGCTGCCCGGCCGCAAGTGTTGCACTTTGATTCTGGTAATTGGCGACGGCTCGAGTGAAAGTGCCCGGCGGCAATAGTATACACCCGGCACGCAGATTGAGGGGTCCCCGAAGACGCACTTTGGAACCGGGTCGGCCAAGTAGGAGCGGTAGACGATCTGCTACGGAAGCCGAAGCTGAGAATAGGAGCGACGACTGGCCAGGCATCCATGCGAGCTCAATAGCCTTGACAGTGGTTACTCCGTCGGTCAGCAGGAGAGCATAAGCTGAAGTCAATTTACAAGTGGTTCGGGAAAGAATCAGACTTTAAAAGGACCAATGAAAAATGGCAAACTATATCGCCCAATCCCTGATAAAGGGAGAATGGCGGAAAGTAATCCTCAAAAATGGCTCACTAACAGGGCTATGGAGGCATAACTTTTACGAGTTGAGCAGAAAAATTGCCTTTTGATTATTACATTTGGACAAAATTGGAATGGCTTTCAATGATACTCATATAAATTGTTTGACCTTGATTTCGCAACTTGGTCCTGTTGGTAGGAAGACTCAGATAAACACACCTAGTCCGGAGTCCATTGTATGCATCATCATTTCCAGAGTAGGACCGTGGACGTGGTACATT